CACACACACACACACACACACACACACACACACACACACACACAAAACATGGATTAAACCTTAAATCTCTGTGTAATGGGATATCTTAAATCACCTCCCACACAGCATCTCATACTTACCCCAAGGACCCAACAGCAGTTTATTTTCTGTCKTGTTGGTCTAATGATGAGAGCTGCAAGGTTGAGGCCATGATTCTTTCTGTGAYCAACACTGAACAGAAAATGCACAGCAGGAAATGTGCTGCTGCACCTGTTTCATTAGCCTGTTGTAATTTACAGCATCAGTATCCTTCTTTCGGCTCCTGAGTAGAAGACAGACAACAAAATATTTCTCTTATCCATTTGTTTTTGTTATCATAAAAGTAGAAAGAGCAGCAAAAGGCTGAACGCTCATTTCACTGTGAGGTTTTGCGTGTGCAGGTTTGCCCAACAGAATAAGAAATAAAACTCCCCATCAGCACGGATATAATCTAAGGTAGCTATCACCTGCGTCACCACTGCTAATCTCACTGAGAGAGAGGGAAAATATATGGATGACTCTCAGGTGGTTAGGACTGTCCAYCAGCTGTGAAATGAGGCACACTTTCCACAATGCTCTCCACTCCATGAGACAAAAAGCCCTCTCATCGTGGTGTGGGCACCGGGGGAATTCCTCTTCACAATGACCCTTACTGTTCAAAGGGGCCATGTACTCCAGGCAGTGCTGTGATCAGGTCAYTGGGCGCGCAGGAGCTACAGATTCTCTTCAAACACACATCAGAGTCTCTTCTCCTCAGGAGTAAAATAGTGCACTGGGTGGTCGTGATTTGATATAAACACACATACAGGACATTTTCCTCATACAGTGGCTCCTAAAATGGTCACAATTTGACTTAAAAAATGCTCAACATTATTTTTTTTTATGATAAACCTAAAAAAAATATAGAAACACACGGCTAATATTTGGGTCAAATCTTTTGTTCTATGGAATATTTAGTTGTAGATAGCTTTTTGAATGACTTCAGTTGGGGGGAAAAATATTTGATTTTTACAAGACTGGTGAGCTAATATGTACTCCAAGACCCAAGATCAAAAATGACTTTTGTTTAAAAAACTTAAATAAAAACATGAGTTTTTAGGCACTGCATTTGCAATTATGTTTGCATTGCGAGGACAAATAGTGCCAGCAACAGCTAGCTGTATCACTTCCTTTACGCTTTTAGCTATTTTGCAAATTTTAGTGTTTAACAAGCCCTTTGACAGTTTTACCTAACAGATTTAGTTTGCTGTTTGTAACTTTTAGTTTCTAGCCAGCATTTTGAAACTTTTATTAGCTTGCATTTCGCTGCTTTTAGTTACCCTTTTGCTACTTCACTTTTAAATAAGGTATTTACTACTTTTAGCCTTTAGCCAGCATTTTGAAACTTTTAGCTTACATTTTGCTCATTTTAATTTTAGCTACCCTTTTGCTACTTCAGTTTTATATTAGGTGTTTACTACTTTTAGCTTCTAGCCATCATTTTGAAACTTTTAGCTTGTCTTTTGCTACTTTTAGTTACCCTTTTGCTACTTTCAAATGAGRCATTTGCTACTTTTAGAAAGACTTTTGGCAGCTACTTAGCCACTTTGCTGCAATCAGCTGTTTTCCTTTTTCTTACTAGGAGCTCATACCTACTGTTTTGATAGTTTAAGCTTTTAGTTAGGCTTTACATTTAGCAAGCTTTCTCCTACTTTTACATATCATTTAGCTTCTTTCAGGTTTTAGCTAGTGTTCTGCCTATTTTAGGTTWTAATAACTCCAATTTTTTGCTTCTTCAGCGCATAAAAGCATCCACCCTTCTCTCATTCACACAGCATTTTATCAGAAATTTATTTTGTTGCTCATACCTTCTCTATTGAACCCCGTTTCGTCAAATTTGAACAGCTCTTTTAAGCGTCAAAGCTAACATGTCAGATTAATAAAATATATCCATCCATCCATTGGTGCACATATCCAGCAGTCACTGTGCGAGGGGCGGGGTACGCCCAGGACAGGCTGCAGTTCCATCACAGGGAGAGACAAATGAGACAAACAACCATTCACTCTCTCACTCACACCTGGAGACAATTTAGTCTCAACCTCACGTTTATGTTTTTGYTCTGTGGTGTGAATGAGATTAATAAAATCTTATTTTAAATCCCAGAGGTGGACTAAAGTGACTTGTTCTGCATTRGTGTTTTGTTTTCTGCCCCAGATGGTTCTGCAGGTTGTTTACAGCACAGCAGGATTCCCTTTTGTAAGATGGCTTCCTCTCTATGACATCCGACCACCAGCTTTTATACGCTTCAGTGCAAGTGCTAGGCACGACAGAACARGGGGCCACCGGCTCTGTGCACACACCAACATGGCTCTCAGCGTGTTGGGTGACGCAGAACAATATGTGCATGCTCTGTTTGAATGAAGTTTGGTTACACTTTATCACAAAAGCACATCGCTGACTTGCTTTGTTGTCGTGGGCACCACCTAGCCCCTGGAGGAAACGTGAAGAGTGATCCCTGTGATTATTTGGCACGGATTTAAAGGCACAGTGTGTAGGATTTGTTGTTTTCAGCGACATCTAGTGGTTGAGTGGTTGAATCAGCCTCCCTGGTCCTCCCCCCACCCCCACCCCCCACTTCCAAACGCAAAGGAGTTGCTACGGTGTCTCTCAGGTGTCAAAAACTTTTGATAATTCCAACCACGATGTCTACCAGCAGCTTCAGGGCTAGTGATGTTTCAAGTGGTAAGATTATGAGCTTTAATAAGTAAAATTATCCCAGCTACAATGACAGACAACAAATATTACATTTATAGTATTACAACTAAAACCGTTTTTGACGCCGCCACCGCAGTTTGTCCTTCATGAGCCTTCGTAAACAAGATGGCGGTGCAAGATGGCGGCTGCCTATAGTGGGGACCCATGACCATGGAGATATAAACAACTTTTTATAAGGTAAAAATAATTAAACAAGGTCTTTGTCTGCAATGATTAGACATGTTTTTTTTTTATCATTGTCATTAGTGATTATCTCAATTTCGGCTAAAAGAATTAACAAAATCCTACACACTGTGCCTTTAAATAGAAAACTGAGTTTGATGGTGGAACATGGACTAAGGCTCAACAACATATTTTTGGCATAAATGGAACTCCATACAAGAAGACATTGATGCTTCCCCTGGTAAATGTGCAGAGAACTACAATTCATTTGTTTGCAGTAGAATCAAAGGAAATAGATGTGTTTCTCCTCTCAAAACACACCCAGTACTCTGGGAACAAATAGTCCACCTGTAGTTAAATTTTAACTACATGCATAACATAAACTGATACAATAATTAATAGATTGGTTCACTCAAAAAAAATAAAAAATAAAAATGCAAAAATGTCCTGCTCTTTTAAGAGATGTTGGATAAAAACGATTTGGAAACCCTGCCAGCAGAGCTTATTGAATGTTTCCACAACCCCACTCAAAAAGTCAACACTGGCTCAGGACAGGAGTCTGCAGCCGTGGCGGCACGCCTAAAGGCCGGGGGTGGAGGGACCTGAAAAACCAGCTGCCTGAGATGGTTCCTCACAGCCAGGAGCAGCTCAGAGCAGAGCGAGCTGGTGGAGTCTCCTCCTCTTTCCTCCTCCGTCATTTCACTCTCCTCCTCCTCTGATTCTCCCAGAAACCAAACAGACGCACTCGCAGAGTTCACCCAGGCTTGTTCCTGGACACACTTTTCATTTGGCTACAGCAGCTGGGGGATTACTTTACGTATTTCATTTTTATTTTTTCAATTTTGGGAGCAGCTTCAAACCTCCTCTTCCCCCACCTGTCTCAGACCTGCTGTGATTGCCTGGCCCCCACAGGTGGACTATGCCCCCCTCAGCCAGCTGAGGGAGTGGGCTCTATCTGCTCGGACTCCCATCTGTAGTGGGCTAGAGCTGAAAACCAAAGAGGAGCCATTTTTGGTAAGTCACAGCACTAATTGCTGCTGAATGTGTACTTAGCTCTTTTATTCTTTTAACTCAGGCTTTGTGTGTGTGTGTGTGTGAGTGTTTAGTTTCATGTGTGTTGTAACTGTGTCTGTGTGAGAACAAGGGTCTCTCCCAGACAACATGGCGAGACAGCAGGTGAAAAGCTCACATTCCAGAGATTAATATTTACCAAGATTGTAAAGTAAAAATAAAATCAAAAACCTAAAGTTGTTATAAGTGACTGTTTCACTCACCAGTTGCCACTAAGCCCTGTAGGAAAATGTGACTTCTGCTTGATGCCCTAATTCAATCTCTCCACTTCAGACAGGTCATAAGCAGAGTGTGCAATAAGCCCAGAAAGAGGAAGTTTCATTCATTCTAACTTCATAAATCTGGCCTCAGTCAGCAGCGCCGGGCTCAAAGTGACAGTTTTCATCTCAAAGGTCGCCTTCAGTCATGGGCAGTGTTCGCTCTTTTCAGAAAAGCAGATCTGCCTTGTTGGCTGACCTTAAAATGCATGCGAAACGTTCCTGAAAATAAATAAAGAAAAATAAAACACTTTGAGTCATTTGCATCGTGAACATAAAAAAAACAAACATAAAGAGGAACACAGAGCAAACAGAGAAGTGTTATATCAATGACCAGCTCTACTTTATGACTACAGGCCTGTTGTCACAATAACCTGATAATGAAATCCTTATGTGTGTTTGAATTTACCACCAGTACTCTGTTACTTTTCATTGTTTTCATGTCTTATAAAAGCAGCATTTTCGTTGAGTCTAAATCTCTCAAAGTTGCAACGAAACTGATTATTTTATTTTATTTTTACTAAAGTCCCCCTGATGTTTCTGACTGATTCATTTGCGACACCAGTCAGCCTGTTTGACCTCACTTCAGTAGGTTTCATCGACAAAGGCATCAGTCAAATCCTGACTAGAATAAAAGCTTGTTTCCTCGGCTGGACAAAGGCACTTCTCCTGTTCTTTACCTCTCATTTGTCGCTCTTTTCAARGGCTCTTCAAAGCCTGGAAGCTGCTGAGCAAACTTATTGTAAAATCACAACACAACTGTGTCGTCCCCCCCCCCCCACCTCCACATTTCAGACCTGTTTTATTTGGTGTTTTTTTATAAAAAAGATAGAGGCACATTATTGATTTGTAGATACTGTATTTCAGGAATAAAGCGAGATTGCTTTAAAACCCAAGACAGCAAGAGAATTCAACAGCATTTTGGAAATATTTTTGAAAGAACAAAGTGTTTTCTGAAGTGTTGTATTTTGATACACAGATCAGTTCAATTCTCACTCTTACACTTATAACACCTCAAAACCGTAGTTTTCCAGTAAATAAGTTTCTAAACCTGACGTCACCTCATGATTTGTGTCCATCAGAAGGAGCTGATGATGTGTTGCTGCTGACAAAACGAGATCAATAAATGTCACAGATAAATCTCTCCTCACATGTGGAAAACAGATATGGGAAGTAAATGTCTGATGTGAGCTCCAACATTATGTCAAACTAGGCCTGTTCTCCTAAATCTGACCTTTCACTCATTAACCTCCTCAAATATTGACTCTGAGCTTTTCTGAAGATGATTTCATTTAATGTGAGAACAGATAAAAGTTGTTCCTCTTCAGCTGTAGCATAAAAAAGGGAAATTGTAAAATTCCTGCTCTGCTCTGAGTCTTCTATCAGAACTGATGAGAGGATGATTTGTTTACTCAGCATAGGAGGAAGAATCGTTGATAAATATAGAAATTACTGGACCAGATGTAGACGTGTGCAGAGCCCAAGAAAAGTAAGTGGATATTTAGTTAGAAACTGTGACACATRATAAAATTCACAGGGAATAACATTTCACACGTAAGTTTCTTCTGTATGTGCTGTAGTAAAGCAACCTTTCAGGTCAGCTGTTCAATAATGTTAGCTGCAGGCAAAATCAAATAAATTAAATCCAAATTTAATGAATACAAGCGGTAAACAGTTATGAGAGTTACAAAAATAGGATAAATGCAGAATAAAACAGTACTAGCTAGTGTTTGTTATGGCTCTAACAGCTGCAGATATGGTAAAATACAGCGGGTAAAATAAGTATTGAACACATCACCATTTTTCTCAGTAAATATATTACTAGAGGTGCTAATGACATGAAATTTTCACCAGATGTCGGTAACAACCCAAGTGATCCATACATACAAAGAAATCAAACCATAAGTGTCCAGAAATGAAGTTATTTGTGTTGTGGAATACTTATGTCTATATCACCT